GTGATTTATAGTCTGAAAAATACGGTACTCGTTATTCAAATGGTCCATATCTTCAAAACCACATTCACTCTTTTATGTATTTGTCTGATTTTGTGCCCACTTATTGTCTTGTAATTTCCTCGTCCTGAGTTTGGTTTGTTGTTGTTTGGGCGTGACCTGCAGGAGTCTGTGTTCATAATGAGCAGAGGATCTCCTGAGACGTAAAACAAGACAGAGCACGTTCACAGGGAAAGTCAGTCCGGAGGGAAACACAACAACTCCACTGACAATCTGCCTGGAATGTTCCACAGTGTGACTTTAAACAGCTCTACTTTACATTATTCAATTACAGGTGTTTTTTCAGCTCAAAGGTACCAAGAAAAACAGGCATTCTGATTATGAGTGGGGATGCCTCTCCACAGATCTGACCTATAATTTAGTCTGGTTTGGTCTCCGTGAAGATAGAAGGGTTTAATACCACACTTAAGGCTGTGCGACTAATTGAACTTTGATTGCGATTTCGATTTGTGTGTCAAATGATCTCCAAACTCATATAATTGAGTTTGAAATGATTTACGTGCTGGTGAAAGTGAGGACCAGGGCACGACGACCGCAATTTTGCAAGGATTCATGTGGCGCCCTACATGCTGTGTGTAATGTGAGTAATGGGAGCTACGGTTCTGATTATCTCCATAAACTCACAGAGGAGCAGATCGCAGCAGGACTCACATCTTAAGCCAAGCTCCAGCTCCATCAGGTCTGACCACGCCTACAGGAAGTAACAACAACTTATATACGAAACGTCATCACCAACACCGGGGACAGTTCTGAAGATACTGTAGCCGAAACATGTCAACAAGGTAAATACACTTCACTGTATTGACTTTAAAAAGAACCCAAGAAGTTAAAGGACTCACATCTGTCTCACTATTTAATAGATATTTCTGCTGCTGGACTTATTTTCTCCACTAAAGCATTTGCTCTGCTGCCACATGTAAACAAACAGCAGCGTGTGATGATGTCGGGCTGTGATGTTGTTCGGTTGTGCAGGTGTGAGTGCAGAATGTAGAACTCTACGCAGTTGTACTTGAACATGGCACGGTTCTAAAGTCCTAGTGCCTAGTGCAAACTAAGGCCCGGGGGCCATATCTGGCCCTTTAATCTTTTTAATCCGGCTCGCTGAACTTGAATAATAATAATAATTTTCAGTGTTTTAAATGTCATTTCAATAAATAGTAAATATTGTGGGACTTGAAAGAGAGATTACAGATTTAATTATGGGATATTTCAATAACATGGGATATTTTTTTCTTTCTCTTTTGAGGTGGAGCCCCTTTACCCAAAAACCACCATATATATATATATATATATATATATATATATATATATATATATATATATATATATATATATATTTATATTTATATTTATTTTTTTTTTTTTTAAATACAGAGATTGTAAAACAGCTGGATATATAGTTTAGTTTGGGTACCTTTATGTTTTTCTGCCTTATTTCATGTTCAAAGTATGTTTTATTCATTTTATGTTTTATACATCACAAAACTGCTGTAAGGTTCATATTTGTAGCCTATATTTATTTTCAATTTGAAAGTTTTGAGTGAATTATCAATAACAATGTGTTTTTTTGAGAGAGAATTGCTGAAGAAATGCATCATGTAACTAAAAAAATAATCATTTGAATAATCGTGATTTCAATATTGACCAAAATAATCGTGATAAATAACAATACTAACCACACTGTGAAACATTCCAGACAAAGCAACATCTCCTTGTAAAAATGCATTTGACAGACCCTCCACCAGAAAAGTTACAGAAGGCACCTTTATAACATTGTAAAAATCAAGTACAGAGGCTTTATTTTCTAAAACAGTGTCCAAATAACAAAGTGAGCCCTTCTCCTGCTCTGATCTCGGTCTAGTCCTTGATGAGCTCCATGTACAGAGACAGTAAATCCCTGTTTAAAGGCTTGATGTCGGACGAGGACTCAGCAGCTCTAATTATAACCAGGAGGAAAGATTCTGTTCTGTCCCCGACTTTAAATCTAATGTTTGTTTATTTTAGATTCTGTGTCGGCGAAAGGCGAAACTGAGGACCAAGGCGTGATGACCGTAGTTTAGCGAAGATTCACGAGGTTCGGAGGGACATAGTTAAGGCGGGGGGCAGGTGTTGTCAAGGCGACCGCTCTAACTATAAAGTACTGTGGGAAACACTGTGTATTATGTATTAAATATACAAAAAACACAATGTTCCAAGACAGGGCACAGATATTAGGAAGTGTTCAACAGCGTCTGACCAGAACTGAAGAAGCAGATTGGATGAGCTGAGAAACGTATTCCACCAAAATAAATTTTTGTCCAGTTAACAAATTGAATTTCTCCTTTGCCATGGATTCTACTAGCCTGATTCATCAGCCAGTTTCACTTTGTGGAAACCGTCTGACCTCGCAGCATTAGGATTCGTTCGCTCGACGGTAGGTGGGTACTTTTTTTATTTAACCAGTCGCCGCTGTTTGGTCGTGACGTATGTAATGCACCAAATCCTGTAGGAAGAAGGACAATAACGTCTTTCCCCTTGATAAAATTCACCAAACATTCTCTTTGTTCCGGCTTTAAATCCTCAATCTCGGGACTCTTTGCCAACACAGAATGTCTGTCTTCATCTACATCCATCTCATCACTTTGTTTACTGTTGTGTTGTTCCACAAAAGGGACCCAGGCAGACCCTTCAGTTTGACTACAACTTCCGGGGTTCTTTCAACCCGTCTAGTGTATTCCGATTCTTGACCTAGTCGCTGGAGAGAAATGAAATTGGGCGGAGGAACTAGGTGGCACCTGCCTGGCTAGATTCTACCTGGACGACTGAATCATTTTACACACACAAGACAGGGTACTAAAATCGCTAAATAAATAGATTACAACTTAATACCTTTTTAAATTATTCACTTTTGATCTTGGGACTAAAAACCTCTGACCTGAGGAAAGCACTGCCGGTCTTTTATAATCCTCTGGGACGTCCTCTGTAAGTGTCTTGTACGGAAGCCGAGAGAGGTCACAACAAACGCAAACACCGCAACAAATACAAATGCGACAACACAACAAAAAGCCACAACAAACCAAAAAAAGCCACAACGGAAGTGACCGCGGGACTCTATTTTCCGACGGACCGATCAAGCGGCAAGTGAAGAAGAAGAACTCCAACGTGAAAAGTAAAGGAACGGAGATGTTGGAAACGTAAGTAAAAGTAATTTATTGTTTTATCATTATTTTGTAGTTCTTCTTCTTCACTTGCCGCTTGATCGGTCCCTCAGAAAATAGAGTCCCGCGGTCACTTCTGTTCTGGCTTTTTAATGTGTTGCGGCATTTGCGTTTGTGTTGTGGCGTTTGTATTTGTTGCGGCCTTTGCATTAAAATAGAGTCCGGCAGTCATTTCCATTGTGGCTTTTTTTGGTGTGTTCTGGCTTTTTTTTTTGTGTTGTTGCATTTGTATTTGTTGCGGCGTTTGCGTTTGTTGTGATCCCTCTCGGCTTCTGTAGTCTTGAGTTCAGAGAGTCCAGGCTGTTCTGAGGATGGACAATCACCTCACCTACATTTTACCAACTGATTCAGGGAGGTCTTGTTTTAATAGAAATGCTCCAAACCATGAGACGAGTGAAAAAGCTCAAACTGATTCAATAAACGTTTATAAAACAGCATCGTCACGCGTCTGTCTCATAGAACTATAATAAAATCTGAAGCTGAACCCAAGATGGCATCGTATTGTTTTCAGTGGCCTGTGCTCATGGGCCCAAAAATTATTTTCTCTTCCACATTTACTTCCTCGGCGTGGAGTGTTTGGACCAATTACAGTGAGACTAGGCTAAGTCTTACAAAGATCACTTTTAGGCGCTTTGAGGATTTAAACATTTTTTTAAATCTTATGTTGTGAAAACAGAAAAGAATCCTACAAAATCCGACCTTCGTGTCAATGCCCTGTCAGAACACGGGTAGTTTGAATTCCCAGAAAGTAGCAGCCACTAGTCACTTTCAAGCCAGGACAGAGGGAAACGCCTTATCCAGTTTTCAGTATTGATCCTAGGTTCTATCTAGACGGTAGAAGGACAATTTCCTCAGACAATGACGGCGCAGGTGCCTCTTTTACATACAGCAGCACAATTGCCGGTAAAACTCAATTTACTGCAGAATCAATGGGTGTTCCAAGGTACTTCTAAGAATCTACGCACTCAACTGACTGCCCCTTTATAAATGTGACGCCCTTCTTTCACAAGTCAGTCATCATATCCTTCGTTCTGGATTTAGACATAGACAAACTTTATTGATTCACAAAGGAAATGACCACTTTAATTTCTCAAGCATGACTCCAGTGTTAGTTCTTTAGTCACGGCTTCTCTACATAAACATCCTAACACAACATCTGAGCCGAGGTTACCTGACCAACCACTTTTACTTTCAGTTCCAAAGCGATAGCACTCGTGTTTAATTCCGTTATTATGCAATTCTGTTTCCATTGACAACATACTGTACTTTAATCGACTCTTGAGAGCTTTAAGCCGTGTTATAATGTTGCTAAATTGTGAAAAACAGGCCCAAAGTTGTGTTTTGTTTCATTTGCGCATGTTTAACGCACAAACTTTATAACAGCCCAGAAAATAGTGTAATATTGGTCTCTTAAGCTGAGCACTTTTCATTTCATTTTTGGGGGAGTTTCCAGCACAGTGGTCCATGGGCGTATACTAGTCTGGGTGCTCTTATACTTGTTCTGACAAAGCTCAAGATCATTCTAAAGACATTCAAGAGAGGCTCATTTCTGTTCTGTCAATGGGACTTTTTTAGCATCCATACCTGCGAGAAATGAGTGTCTAGTTTCGACATTGGTTTTAGAATCGATGAGTGATTTTCGTACAACCCTAATAAGAAGTGGTCTGTCTCACCGTACACTTATTACTGACACTGCATGTTGTATTATTATGTTGTATTATTATGTGGTGCGTTAGTTTTGCTCACCAGGTCGTTCAGGATGGTCACGTGGAAATCAAACATACACATCTGGACGGGCTGGGCCAGCGCTCGGTGGAGACTGAACAGAGATTTCACCTCCATCCTCCAAAAAAGAGCTCAAAACTGCTTAAAGTGTCCACGCGATATCCAAAACACAAAACTCTGCAAGTCCTCCCATGGTGTCCTACGACTGTAGCTCCAACAATGTTACGCCTGGGAAATGTTCATCTTTCAAAAATTTTAATTGAAATAAAAAAATAAAAAATAATAATATTAATAATAAAAATTGAATAAAAAATATATTAAAAATTAAAATGTAAAAATAATTTAAATTAATAAACTAAATGAAAATTAAAGCTAAAATGTTTATTAAAATTTAAATAAAAAATAATAAACAAAATTAAAATAAAAAGATAATAAACAAAAAAATTAAACTAAATAAAATGGAAGTTTAAATAACAAACAATAAAAAAACAAAAAAATTATAAAATAAAAAATAAGCTAAATTAAAATAAAAGTTATAAACAAAATTCTAATTTTAAAACTAAATTTAAAAAAATTAAATTAAAAAAAATATATATATATATATATAAAAAATACTAAATGTTAATAAAAAAAAAAAAAAACTTAAAACTTAAAATTAAAATAAAAAAATACTAATGCCTAAAAAAAAAAAAAAAAAAAAATCTTGTGTCTTTTATATGGTCTACACTATCTACAATTTTTATGATCCCAAGTAGGTTAATATTTTACTAATAAGAAAGCATTCAGGTCAGATTAAGCAGTTTTTCACATTTTCTTAAGCATAAACCTTTGAAATCTGAAAATACAGAAGCCTACAACGTTACTGCAATTTGTACTAGCAACAGTTGTACACAAACCTACACCACTACTATAAATGCTTAAAAAATTGGGAAGAAAAAGTGAAACAAAAATACCTGTCACGTAACGGTAAAAAATACTGATGGTGAACCTGCTACGGTAATTACTGTAATAATCCAACTGTTCCCCAGGTCCCAAATCCACAGGTGACAGAAAATACGCAAGTCATAAAATCCAAAAATGTGAAAATCCTGTCTTCTGCGCTCTGTAGTTATAAGAGAGTAGTAGTAGTAGTAGTAGCAGTAATGATGTTAGTATGTGTAGTCGTAGTACACGCTGTTGTAGTTCTGTCCCGTATTGTTCCTGGTCTATTATCGTCTGCAGCTGCCCTTCCTCATTTCACAACTCGCTCAGCTGTTTCTCTCTCTCTCTGCTCTCGTCTCTCTCCTCTCTCTCTGTTGTGACGCAAGACCAGACATGAGCCAATGCACCGCAAACCGACCCAACGCTGTTGATAATGAGGGCAGCTGAGGTACTAGAAATATAAGAAGTACACGAAGAGTAGTGGAGTACAAAGTAGGGATCTTGACATGATATTTTTACGATATTTGGCTAACAATATTGTGAATACGTGACTTGTTTCTCTTAAAACGGCTGTGACAAGACCTAACCCAAAGAACTAAGGCTTAATGCTCAATTCGGAATTTTTATTTTTATATTTCCCACAATGTTTTTTATTGGTTTTCAATTGAGAGATTTATAATTGTATAGCAAGTGGTGTACCATATCTAGCAAATATACATATATGTATAAACATATACGCATATAAACATACAATGTTAAGAAATAACAATATGGCAAATTTAAAACAATAATAATAAAAAGATATATATAAAATAATAATAATTAAAAACAAAAATAAAATAAATAAATAAATATAAATAAATAAATAAAGCAAAAAAATTACAAAAATAAAATAATAAATAAAGAATAATAATACCTGTCATACTCTATCAACTATAGTTTTCTGAGAAAGACCATTAAAGGGTGTCCATACTTCTTCAAATTCCTGTGCTTTACCTCCAATGATATATGTCAGCTTTTCCAGTGTAACACACAAAGACATTTCTCTTATCCAGGTCTGTTCAGAAGAAACTTCCAATTCGGATTTGTTTGCAAAATCCAATTTATATATATATATATATATATATATATATATATATATATATATATTTTTTTTTTTTTTTTTTTTTTTTTTTTGCGAGGTCGGTCACATTTCCAATTAAATTTCACTTGTATGTGATCTTCAGTGTGAACTTTAAACGCGATGACGTCACACACAGCAAGAGTGCTCAGTGTTTACAGAAGTGGCCAAAACTCTGAGCATGTCTCCCAAAATATGGTCGAGTTCTTGGTAAAATGGACAGGGTACACGTCCACAGCTGCTTCGTGTGTTTCAGTCCTTATCCTCCTTGTATTTTACTTGCAGGTTCTTTATTTTTCGTTGACATTGGAGTCAGGACCGTCTGTAGCCACACTCGGACATTTCTTTGGCAATCATTTCAAAAACCGCCCAGTCTCCAATTTGGCCTACAACGATCCCAGCAAATATTAATTCACTCGCTAACCTCACTTTCCCTCCATTGACGAGACTCTGAGCCTGGCGTGTAGGTGGGATGAATGTGACCTGACCTGTTCAGACTGAAGTCGCATGTCAAAAGATCAGATATGTATCGGTTTTAGGAGTAAATATCCAAGTGTCCTGGGTCACATTTGAAAAAAAAAATGGATCTGTGTTGTTCAGACTGTCATTAAAATATCAGATACAGGAGCACAGGGGTGAGAAAATCAGATTTGGGTCACTTCAGGCTGCAGCCGTTCAGACTGAATGTAGCCTAAATCTACACGTCAGGCTCAGAGTCTCGTCAACGGCAGGAAAGTGAGGTTAGTGAGTTTATTCATATTTGGAGGGATCGCTGTATTCAGGCTAAATTGGAGAAGTCTTATCAGAGCCGGGCGGCTCCAATGTCAACGAAAAATAAAGAGCCTGCGAGTCAAACACAAGGAGGCTAAAGACTCAAACAAACGAAGTGGCTGTGGACGTGTAACCTGTTCATTTTACAAAGAACTGGGCCGTATTTTGGCACACAAGCCTCACTGCGCGTGACGTGTGCATGTGCATGCGGGACACTTTTGGAGCATTTAATGTTCACACTGGAGATCACATACAAGTCACATTGGAAATGTGAATGACCTAGCAAAAAATCAGATTTCACAAAAAAAAAAATCTGATTTAAAAGTGTTTATAACAGTTATTTCTTCATGTCTGCAATGAAATGGAGCAAAAGATCATGGTCTATGTAGTTCTCTCTGCTTTTTTAACTATTGCTGCACCATAACTATTAATCTAAAGGTGCACTGTGTAACTTTTCTGGAGGGGGTCCTCAGCCTGTTTGTCTCCATGGAGATGTTAACGCTTTGGTGTAAATTGTCCACAGTACGGCATTAAACTGATCCGTTTTTTTATCGACAATACAATAAAACACAATTAAACCCTTATTATTTCAAAGATTACAATGCAAGTTTCATTTTGGTTTTTAATTTGCTTATTGCAATCTTTGATTCATTTTTATTATTTACAATCTACTCAATATTTTATTAAAAATGTTCTTTAAAAAAGGGTGTTTAACTTTTCTGCTGATGGGTCTGTCAGATGCTTTTCTCCATGGAGATTGTTCTGCCCCAGTGGAGAATATTTCTGTTCTGAGTTTATCTGTTTTTTCCACTCTGAACTTTCTTAGCTGCCATATTGTTCTGTTGTGGCTCCCTGTGACTTTGGAAAATAATATAACAAGTATTTAATTCCAATGTCTTTTTACTTTAGTTTGTTAGTTTTTAAATGTAATCCTAAATTTGTAGATAATGGTAATCCTGTAACATTCAAATAAAATGTTTTTAATATTTTTCTTTCTGAAAATATGCGTCAAAGTTGCTGATGTGTGACACCCGGCACAGATCTGGCAGCCTGGATTTACCACGTCCTACACCAGCAGCGCGATTTATTGAGCTTTTCAACCCTTGGTAGGTAAATGATGGCCTGATTCATCAGCCGGTTTTACTTTGTTTAACTTCGTACAAACCGTCTGACCTCGCAGTGGTAGATTTTGTTCGCTTGACAGTAGGCGGGTACTTTTTATCATTTAAACAATCTCTGTTATTTGGTCGTGACGTATGTAATGCGCCGCTAATGGGGTTAACTGGTATATATCCCCTTGATAAAATTCACCAAACATTCTCTTTGTTCTGGTTTTAAATCCTTGATCTTGGGAATTGTTCCCAACACTGAATATATGACTCTTCTCTGATCGGCTGGTGCTTGAACTCGCACTTCCGTGGTTCTTCCAAACCATCTAGTGTATACTGATTCCTGATCTAGTCACTGGAGAGAAATGAAATTGAGCAGAGGCACTAGGTGACACCAGCCTGGCTCAGTAAATTATGAATAAATCCAAGAAAAGAAAAGTTTCTGAAGAAAACAGAACATTTAATGCTACGTGGGCAGATTCATTTTCTATCACGGCTGATGAGACTGAAACATGCGGAACTACACGACATAAAATGAAGACGGAAAACAAGCAGACGGCAGTTTTGGATAATTTAAGTTTGGATTTTTATTTCCTACGAGGAGAACTCAAATATACATTGAGTAATAATGTGTTTAATGCAGCTTTGTGCACATTTGTTTACGTTTTACAGAAACTAAACTTTGAACCACATGACTCATTTGCACAAACTCTTTTTGTCGCTGATGTGGTTCAGCTTCTGTCGGACTAAAAGACAGGACTCAGTGGAATATGAGTGTTCTTTCTGTGACAGAGGGATGTTCTGCTGATGGTGAGTCTGTTCTGTGTTTCTGTCGTGTTGGAGATGGTTCACACTACAGTCTTTTAAACAGAGGATACAGGTAAATGCCCAAAACAGTGAGAGGCTTCCTGAGTGTTTATTATAGACAGTGTTGGGAAGGTGACTTTTAAAATGTATTCCCCTACAGATTACAGATTACACACCCCAAAATGTAGTTTGTAACGTAATCCATTAAATTACTTAAAGTGAGTAATGTAATCTGAATACTTTGAATTACTTGATTTGCTGTAGAGAAGCAAAGACGAGGAAATCTTCACATAAGATGTTTTATCTGCTTAAAGAAAATAAAAAGCCCAGACTTTACTGAACCAAATTAAAAATATTATTGATAGAAGACGAGGAGACACGGTCCACACAGCAGGATTTAGTCCTGTTAAATCCTGTTTTAGACCTGGTTTAGACCTGGTTTAGTCCTGGTTTAGTCCTGGTCTAGACCTGGTTTAGATCTAGTTTAGACTTGGTTTAGTTTCCAGCAATGAGTGGAATTACCAAAAAAAAAAAAAAAAAGGGGTGATATAGCCCAAAATGTGAAAACAGGAAAATAGCACCGTGTAATCCATTTATTTCAACAAAGTAACTGTAATCCAATTACCACTCACTGAAACAGTAACTGTAACTGAATACAGATACTCATAATTTGTACTCTGATTATGTAACTCTGGTACATATAACACTGATTATAGAGACGTTATTGCTTTGTCTGAAATGTTTCACAGTATGGCATTAAATCTTTCTATTTTCATGGAGACCAAACAGGATCAAGTTACAGGTCAGATCTGTCACAATGTCTGTTTTTATGGGGATTTTTGAGCTATAAAACCACCTGTAATGGAATAAATGTAAAGTACAGTTGTTTAATGTCACACTGTGGAACATTCCAGGCAGAGCAATGACGTATCCATAGAAACAAGCAGGTGACGGACCCTCAAACACAAAAATATACAGCTCAAGTGTCTATAGGCGTTGTGTGTGTGTGTGTGTGTGTGTGTGTGTACGTGTGTGTGTGTGTGTGTGTGTGTGTGTGTGTGCGTGTGTGGATGTGGTGTCACTAAATAAACAGCTCAGACAGAGGGGACGCTGGGAAACGCTTTAAAATTCATCGCCCGTCTCAAACCGTGGAAGAGCCGTCGCCATGGAAACACAGAGCCAAGCCAAGTCTGAAGAAATGCCACTGTCCCCCGGCTCCGCTCCCGACTGCTGTGATCTTTCATTTCAAAGATATTGGATTGGACCTGAGCTGTTCTGAAGTATTAAACCGGGGCTAAACCAGGTCTAAAACAGGTCTAAGACAGGACTAAACCCGGACTAAAACAGGTCTAAAACAGGACTAAACACAGGACTAAAACAGGGCTAAAACAGGACTAAGACAGGTCTAAACCAGGGCAAAAACAGGTCTAAAACAGGTCTAAACCCACACTAAAACAGGTCTAAATCAGGTCTAAATCAGGACTAAAACAGGTCTAAACCAGGACTAAAACA